CTTTTCCCCTTGTTTTCTCAATAGGGTAAAGAGGGGAAAGAAGATAAACTAACCCTTGTGGGTGAAACAAAAGCAGTTTTAATATAAGCAAGGCAAAGGAAAAGTCCGCGCGCGGAAGCAAAAAGCAAACAGATTTAGTCTCTACTTCCCATGGACAGGCGATGTCGGGCCTTCTCAGGAAGCAGGGCTCCAATACGCGTAGTGGTTGCCTCAGAGGACCGAGGGTGACCCCACCCCCTTCCTCCTTTCTCCCAGCTTTATACTGAGCAAACGTCATATGGTATGGAATATCCCTTTGGTCAGTTTGGGTCAGCTGTCCTGGCTGTGTCCCCTCCCAAGATCTTGCCCACCCCGTCCCACTGGGGGAAATATCAGAAAGAGCCTTGGTGCTGTGTAAGCACTGATCAGCAGTAGCCACAACACCAGGGTGCTATCAACACCCTGCCAGCTCCCGACATAAAACACAGCACCATGACGGCTGCTGTAGGGGAAAACCAATTCCAGTTCAGCCAGACCCAGTACAAAGGGTAAGAAAGTCTTGGCAATCAATGAAATCTATTTTGTGGATGCTGTGCTATTAAGTTGCAATCATTGAAGATTTTCAAGTGTGGATTTCAGACCTCACACATGTTAAGAGAAATTAAGGTCTTTCTAATACTGAATACATAATATTGTTTTCACAGTACAGTAAATACTGTTTCTGTTGCCAGAAATTTGTTATGTTTTGGAATTCTACTGGAGAATACAGTGTTTTTTTCCTAAGGCTTCTTTAAAAAAATTTATATCTAACAATAGCAGGTCTGCGAAGCTGTCATTTAGTGGGATAAATTAGTGAGAGAAACTCTAAAATTCATATTTGTCCCTTTTAATTTATACTCCAGTATATGTGTTATTATAAAAACTTACAGTTGAGGAAATCTATTAAAACTGAAAATTTTGTAGGTGTCTATATGTGAAAATTCTTTAAAATTATGATTAGGAAATATGACTACTTATTCCACTTACTGGGAAGAACACTTTTCATTTTTGTGTTTTGTGGTTTTTTGTTAACAAGAAGAAATCTCTTAGATTTCATTTAATCTATGATCAGAGATATTTCATCTGTCAAAAGAAGGTGGTGGCAGTCAGTTGTTTACTATCACAAAGAATTTTTTTCATACCCCCCATTTGTTTAAATTTTACCTTGAAGAAAAAAAGTCTGATTTCAGTTGCACTCATGGGAAGTGATAAGAGTAAGTGATTCTAAAATGGACCTCTTCAGGATCATACGAATTGTACTCAGGATCCTTCTTATTTACTGTATGATTTTTATGTATTTATAATGCAACATTGCATGAGCTTCTGTGAGGTTGAATTTAATAATCTGTATAGTGTGTTTTGAGATACTCAGGTTTGAAGTGCTCTAGAAGCGTAAAATATTAATGTTTTGTCATACAACCTTAAACTCATATTTTAGAATGAATACAGCTGGAGATAGTCATATTGGGTTCTGTCTGGGATTGCATATCATTAATCAAAATGTTTTCTAATACTGAATAAAAGACCACTGAAGACAGTAAAAAATATCTTTTTGTTCAGTGGGAATTGGGCCATTCAATTCTGACCTTGCAGTGACTGATACTAAAGTACAAAGATTCCTCAAAATCAACTTGTTTACATGCTCAACTATTCAGTTATCTACTGGTGTTTTAGTGTTGAGTTATGCCATTTCTAAACACCTTGCATAATATAAAATAGTCCTGTAAAATTATTTGTGTCAAGATGACAACGGGAACACAGTTCTGTGCTATCATACTTGGTCTAGTCATTAAATATCCACAGTGTTAAAAAATCTTCAAATGAATCACTTCAAATAAAGCACTTTTCCTCCAAGTGGCCTATGTGTCTAGAGCGAAATAAAGATGAGACAGTGTCATGCAGTTGATCTACAATGACAGTAGGGACAATTCAATTTTAGTGTTTGATGCAAAAGTGCTCTTAAAAGTCCCTACTACCATATCTGGGTAGCATCTGTTGTCTGTAAAATGTAGTAGCATGTTCTGGAATTACGGCTACCTTTTTTTTCGTGTGTGTAGATAATCCCTTCTGATACACAATATAGGGTATCCTGGACCAAATTTAGAGTTACAAATTAACAGTGATACAGCCACATGATTTGACATTATAGTGGAGTTAGAACTATATGTATTTTCTCAGAATAATCGAATAAAACATTCTCACTGGTTTGGTGAATATGTGTGTTAACTGTCATTTAACACACGCTCCATTTAGGGCATACAGAAATATTTTATTGGTTAGTAAATGATTGCTGCTCACACCTACTAAAGTTTTTGCTAATAAAATTTGAAATCTGCCAGCCACCTAATGTGAGATTTGTTCACATCCTATAGAAAAGGTAATTTTCTGGTTTTGTTATTTCCTAATTAACATATACAGACATTAGAGTAACAGAACAAATAGGACCTTATTAAGAATTTAAAGTGAAATACATGCATTTGTTTCTGATTAGCAAATCGTGATTTTTTTGGGGGTGAATTATTTCCGGCAAGACCTGTAGTATATATTGGAAACAAGCATATGTTGTCCAAAAAGTAATTAATTACAAGACACCCGCAGTAGAGTTTGGATTTTTTTCTCTAAGGACCAGACCTTAAACTGCTGACCTCTACTAAAAATGAGAGATGGGATGGGAAACTTAATTGACAGAAATCTGAAGAGTGGGGAGGTGTGGGCAGGAATCTGGAAAGATTCTGGGTCTGGATCAAAGGCAATGTCAAAGATCTTGTGACTGCAGACGGACAGGAGGAAAAAAAAAAATAAGGAGCCCTGTGGAGCAGGCATATGACTTCACAGCATGTGATACACTAAACTGCAAGATATAGATGTAGCTGATAGCTCTGTACCCACAAGTGATGCCCCCCCCAAATTGTCATCTCCTATGGGTGCTCTAAGAATATGTTCTGGCTACCAGTTGGCATGAGGGACTGGTACTAATCTATTCCCTATGTGAAGTTAACTGCTTGCACAAAGGATGTGGACAGGAACAAGCACCTTGGGCACACTTCAGATCATATCATAACCACTTGTGAGTCTCAGGCCTTCTTTTATGCTTAACAATATTTCCAAATGTTTCAGTGAAGTTATTTGTGAGTGATTGTACCTGCTCCTATGCTATTATAGAGGATGCAATTTTATAAGAAGTGACAATGTTTCTCACAGTTTCCATGTTTAAAAAATTAATTAGGTCTTAAAGTGGTTTGGCCACTCAAAATGAAACTTTTTTCCTTAAATTATGTTAATTGAAATCAGCAGATTACAGTCCTGGTTCAGTAATATTATTAAGGTCTTTTAAGCTTAGATCTATCAATACTTTTTAAAAAACCCAAACAAATCCCAAACCTTTTTTTTTATATCAAAAGTATAACAGCACCTTCTTTTTGACAGTGTAGAAATTAATTATTTTCTGATTATCACATTTGGTTGGCTGTTAGAAGATTCAGATCCTGTACAGGTGGCTGTCACTTTGTGAAAGAACATAATTTTCCTCTCCTTTAGTTTTCTCCTCTTTCTAGTCTAGATTCCTTGATTGGATTATAAAGATTGACTTAGTCATTTAAGTGAGGTTTTACTAAAAGGACTTAAAACCATCATCATCTCTGTTATGTGACTCTGTCACATGACAGTACAGTGGCTTCTGCATCATGCGAGTTGGTCATATAGCCTTTCAGTGCCAGTGTGGAAGGGTACAAGTTCTACCTGGGCTACAGAATTCCTGCATGAACTTCAGAAAAAATGAACTTCTCTGTAACACAGTTCCCATTCTTAATAGAAATAACATACCTTTCCTCTGGGTCTTTTCCTTCTTGTCTATTCAGATAGTAGTCTCTGTGTGGCAGAGACTGAGATGATGCTTATTACACTAGACTACTATGAGGTTTCTGTACAATATTATATACTATCAGATATATTTCCATCTAACAAGTTGTAATATATGAGATTTGAAAACCTTGATCCAGGAATGGGTTTCCAGATTCCTTTACAAGATAGTAATTTTCATAGTATACATTCATCCCTCTCTGGGCTGCCAGTGTAAAATTTATAGTAATAAGAAATTTTAACTTTCTGAAGACCTTTAGGAGAAACTAGTGCCAACTAAATTTTCTAAAATAACAGTTTTCTTAGATGCAGCGTAAACAAAAGGTATGCTAGTGTGTAGCATTTGTTAAAGGGAAAACGACTCCAAATCATTTAGGATAGCTTGCACAACTCATATGGGTACAGTTTTTCAGTTTTTCATGCTTGGCCAGATAACAGTTCAAATCTTTTATATCACAACAGATCATGGAGTAATCCAGCTTTTTTAAAAATAATAATCGGTTCCCATAACATAAACAAGAAGAGAAACTGAGAATAGTAGGTGTACCATTTCCTTTTTGGCCAAGGAGTATATACTCTAAACTGAATTATTTCTTTCCAGCAGTACATTGTAATCATGCACCATTTTGTGTTTTACTTTTCAAGATATTTTCTCATAAATAAACATATTGACCACTCTAAGAACCATGTACTTTAAGAATCTGTAATTTTAAAAGCATTCTTTTGCAAATTTTAAGGAAGTTTTTACTTGAATACTATCCATACTTTAATATCATGAGAGAAAACATACAAGGAAGATTTTCAGTAAGTTCCCGTGTCTTAGTAGAGTCTGTAGTTTTCAGTTTACCATGTTCAGTTTCCATGTTGCTGAGAGGGTGTAAAGCTGGGGTATGCTAAAATTAAATTTGGTCTTTCAGGTCCAGCTCCTACAGACATATAAACATGCTGAAATTTAAATTGAAATTATTTCAATAAAATCAATGGATCTGCATAAGCGCAGTTCTGTTCTATCAGAAGTTTTCAATGGATTTGCATAAGCGTAGTTCTGTTCTATCAGAAGTTTTAAGTTCCTGAGCAGATTGGTTTTGTTCTTTTTATGTGTCAATCGTTAATAGACATGTAAATTTATATGCCTTTTCCATTTTTATTATTGTTTCAGGTAATAATTGCCCTTGCGGAGAAAAACAGGTCCCATATTCCTTACCGAAACTCTATGATGACCTCAGTACTAAGAGACAGTCTGGGAGGAAACTGCATGACTACCATGATAGCAACGCTCTCTATAGACAAAAGAAACATAGATGTATGTTATTTCTATCTCTTTTCAACAAAGATGTTTTCACTTCTCTAAAGATCCTGCTCTTTTTACTTTTATTACAGTTTGCAATTATAGTGTGAATGCTTTCATTCTTATCCTTACAAAAAAAAATTTAACTTTCTTTCCAGAAGATAATTTTATCAGTGGAAATTGCAGTAAGATATAGACAAATCCTCTAGATGTGCTTTCCTCAAAGTAATCTCAAGTCAAGGAACAGTTGAGAAATGATTTGCACCTAGTAATGAACTATATTTGTTTTTTTCTTGAATTTACTGTTTTCCTGATGATTAAGTCTTTGAATTATGAAAATGTATTTCCAAGGAATTTTCCACAGGACATATTGGTAAGATCTCTAAGTAGATTATGGATCACACGGAAAGCCTTGGCAGAATTCCTGTCGACTTTGGAGTTGAGATTTCACTGAGTATGGTAGACAATTGGAGATTTCATTGACAGGGAGAGAGAATTGAGAGGGGTGATTTGGGTTTTGGGGAAATTTTTCAAATACTTTTATCTCCCTTCACCAATTTCTTGCACTAGAATTATATGTAGTGATATATCTTTGTTTACAAAAAGAGCTGTAGTGTTTATCAAAGGGCTGTAGGGAATGGGGCTACATCTGGCTGGCGACCAGTCAGCAGCAGTATTCCTCAGGGTTCCATTCTAGGGCCAGTTGTGTTCAATATATTTATTAATGATCTGGATGCAGGAGTTGAATGCACCATTAGCAAGTTTTCTGATGATACCAAACTGGCAGGTGCTTGAGGGACAAGATGCCTTGGAGAGGGATATACATAGATTGGAGCATTGGGCTATGATTAATGGGATGAAATTTAACAAGTCAAAATGCTGGATTCTGTACCTAGGATGGATTAACACTGGGCGTAAGTATAGACTGGGAGAGGAGTGGCTGGAGGGCAGCCCTGCAGAAAGGGATCTGGGGGTGCTGGTCAGCAGCAGGCTCAATTCGAGTCAGCAGGGTGCCAAGAGGGTGAACCACATCCTGGGGTGCATCAAAGCAGCATAACCAGCTGGCCAAAAGAGGTGATTATCCTGGTGTACTTGGTGCAGCCTCACCTTGAGTACTATGTGCAGTTCTGGGACCCATAATTTAAGAAGGGTGTTAAGGTCCTTGAATGCATCCAGAGGAGGGCAACAAAGCTGGTGAAAGGGCTGGAAGGAATGTCCTATGAAGGGCAGCTAAGGACTTGGGACTTGTCTAGTTTGGAGAAAAGGAGGCTGAGGGGTGACCTCATCGCTCTCTACAGCTTCCTGGGGAGGGGAGGTGGAGAGGAAGGTGCTGAGATCTTCTCCCTGGTATCCAGTGATAGGACATGTGGGAATGGTTTAGAGCTGCACCAGGGGAGGTTTAGACTGGACATTAGGAAGCATTTTTTTACCAAGTCAAACACTGGAACAGGCTTCCTAGGAAGGTAGTTGATACCCCAAGCCTGTCAGTGTTTAAGAGGCATTTGGACAATGCCCTTAATAACATGCTTTAACTGTTGGCCAGCCCTGAATTGTTCAAGCAGTTGGACTAGATGGTCATTATAAGTCCCTTCCAAATGAAATATTCTATTATGTTATAAAATATGTTGTGATGTGAATACATAGGACCCTACACAAAGCCATTTATAATCTATTTATTTCCTCATTTTCAATAACATCAAAGCATTCTAATGCAAATAAACAAGAAAAAAAAAACCAACAAACTACTAAGCCTAAGACTGTTTTCTGAAATACAGTGGAAAGCATTGTACCATACTTCATCTAGTTGAAGACATTTTTTCTTTAGAAAATGGACTTTGCTGCTAAATGGAAACAGATTGTTCAGATTTGCAAACATGTAATTGTGCAAGTATGATGTCCGGTTACAAATGCAACTGGATAAGTTTGTTAATGAATTTTAGGCTGTGTGGGATAGGCACCCTTTTGTATATCAGTTTGTCAGGTGTTTGTATTTCACATCACAATCTAGGTTTCTATTTTGGAAATACATAGCCCAAGCAATTATTCAGAGTAGGCTACTGACAATTTCCATGTCCTTGCTTTAGCGTATACCATCTACACAACAGACCTTCTTCAGTCCTCCCAAAAATAAATAAATCCTTACCCAGCTTCCCAAAATCTGATACATGCAAGTAACCATAACAGATGTTAAGTCATTTACTAAACATTAGTAAATATCAGAATTAGGATAGTTGCATAATTTTAATCTGGAGTTCTGTGAGTCATTATGCGTAGTTATGTTTGGTTTGGTTTGATTGTTTGGTTTTTTCCCTTGGATATACATTTCCAAGCACAAGACAGAAATACCCCTCAGTATGAATAGAAGTTGTATAATAAAAGCAACTTTCTTAAAGACTCAACTTTATCTCTTGGAATGAAAGCAACGAAGCAGAGAATTCAAAGAAAGGGCACTCTCATGAAGAGGACAAACAGAATATTACTGTAGAGAACTAGATTATGTTTCTACTTCTACCAAAGAGTTTGTGTACAATTCCTCATATCACCTACATCATATTTTTTTGTGCTTGAAAGAAGATGCTGATTCTGAATTGTAGATATACTAATTATTATAGCTGTAACTAAAGTAGAATGGAAGTTGTTTTGAACAGAAGACTTCATAATGATAATAATAAAATATAAATTTTTTGGTAGTTTTAACTGCAGTTTCCCTTCTGTTAAGTGTAGTCATTCCACACACTTGCAGCAAAGTACCTAGAGGATTAATTGATTAATTTTTGTGAAGCCCTCAGATACTGTAATAAGCATGGCAGAAAAAGTGATTAGGAAGTTAGCAGCTGTCAGATTTGATTACCATTTTGATAGCATAGAATAAATATATCATCAGCTTACATATTGGACATTGAAGACTGAATTCATTAGCTACTCATTAATTTAACATATGCTTCACACTGAACCGGGCAAAGAGGTCTGGTGGAAATATATGTGTGTGTGTATCATACATATATTTGTACATAATATATGTATAGAACTTAATTAAAATCACATTAGCTGATCATCATAACACGGGAACTGTACAGCAGAGGCAAACATAGAATCCAGCTAAGACTGGGTGGAGCTCTTTAAATTGTAAGGCCTTCCTTTCCTTTGCTTGAAAACTCTTTTAGGATTCTGTGTGCATACATTATGTCTTTGGCAATAAACACTAGATCTTTCATCATGTAACCTTAATTCAGATACTACCCCGCCAAGCACTGAAAGAGACAGAAGTCCTGTCCAATATATGACCATATATTTAAACTGGTATTTTCATATGTTGGAAGACTGAAAACTGCAGAATTACTTTGATTCTGAAATATGTGTCTAGAACAGTAGTAAAGTTCTCTTAATGTGGAGATTATGTGTAAATTCTTATATTTTAAATGCAGACTGGCACATCTCAGAAAATTTTTTCATACAGTTTATCAATCATATTGAAACTTCTAAGACTACTACATGATGTTTTATTCTTTGATCTGAGAACAGTTGCTGGCTTTTTATGCATTAAGTAGATAAGTTCTTTAACAGGGTCTGGCATGCAAGTATTGGCTGATCTCAAAGGAGGGATTCATTCTGCACCCTAGATGGGACTATACGCTGATTGTCACAGTTTCCTCCACAAACTCAGACTTGCATCTTTTTTTCTGCCTTCCTTTCCTCCTTCACCCCATCTTAGCTCATCTGACAGATTTTTATCTGGTATTATAGTTCTCCTCAATTCCTTCTAGTCCCAAGTCTCCCAGCTTGTTTCTCATTTGTCCCAGACTTCCACTTTTCTTCCCTTCATCTCTTTTCCCAGACTTTTAATTAAAGCTTTTAATTAATTTTCTCTCTTTCTCAAAATTCAAGAATTTTTACCTTCTGAGTAGTACGGCTTTTTTATCCTTTAGTGCCAACTGGGGATTCATTTGAAACACAGCTGATCAGGAGATTGGCTGGGTCAATAAAATATGTACTATGACTTGACAGTTTTGTATGTCACTGTCTTTAATATGCTAACCTAATTTCCCTTGAATATTGTTGTTTTGGAATATGAAATGATAGATTATTTCTGTAAAATATAGAATCTTAGTTGGATGACTTCATTAGCATTCTGTTCTACTTACCTGGTGCAAAGCTAACTGAAATTTTTCTTCTTTTTTTCTCTTCTAGGAATCTATATCAACCTGCAGATTTGCACAGCGAGTTGCTCTGATTAAGAATGAAGCAGTTCTTAATGAAGAAATTGACCCCAGATTGGTGAGAGTTGTGTGGGGGCAGAGGAAAGGAGATTGCTTGTTTTAATAATCAATAGCAGTCGAATGGATGTTGAGGATTTCACACTGAATCGTCCCATTAAATTGTTTTGAGGTGCAAGCTCCAATCTTTTTTATAAAATAGCTACTATTTTTATTTTTTCTGTTTGAACACAGTTGTAATTAAATGAACCTTTATAAAAGCTCTACAGACTTTCTCAGCTCTTAAGACATCTGAGAGGCAACAGTCACATTCATTATCATCTTCTTTTAAGGTGTATTGTGGTTTTAACTCAGCCGGTAGCAAATAGCCACATGGCCAGTTGTTTACTTACCCCCACCCCCACCCTGATGAAATAGGGGACAGACAAAAAAGAAGAAATTTGTAGGTGAAATTAAAAAAAAATACTAGCATAACCAACAGTAATAATAGTAGTCCAAAATAGGAAAAATGCAGTAGTGGCTCACTGAATGGCGACTGGTACAGAGCCCATCCCCAGCAGCGATCTGACCGCACCGGAAGAACTCCACCCAGCCAATCCAGAAACCAAAACCAAAACAAGGCGTGTGAGAAAGTATACACCTGCCTATATTCTGAACTTTGATGACACATGACATGGAATGCTCCAATGGTTGATTAGGACCCAGCCCTTCAGCTGTGCTCCCTCTCATCCCAAGGAAAGTTAACTCTATCCTGGCCAAAACCAGGACAGGCTCCACCCCTTAATCCATACCATTGATGTCATGCTCAGGTTCCAAATACATTCTAAGGAATCACCACCCCTTTTCCCAGGTGTCACAGACATCATTCCCTCAGTCTATGGGCCATCCTTCCAAAATGTCTGCTGAGTTAATTTAGTTCATAACTTTGGGTTCCATCTGTCATGGCAGTCTTTAAGGCTGGACGAATGAGGTGGAGTCGGCTCAGCTGGTGGAACAGGAGGCTTTGGATGTGGCTGGAGGATGTTGTGAGGCACCAATTGCAATAACAGGGGTATTTGGCAGTTCAATTCATTGGCTATTTTCACCCGAAATCAAATCTCCCTGAAGCACATATCAGACTTCTTCATCCTCCAAGTGCTCCCAGGTCCTTGGGCAACAGTGATCCCACGCATGGGTTTACCTTTACCCAATGCAGGAGTAACCCAGATGGTCTTCCCCAGCATATATTTCATGCGCACTACGGGGGCTTTAGCACCATCGAGGCTATGTCTCTCTCCTATTTCATGAGGGGGCAGGGGGAGTAAACATGGTGATTTGCTGCCCTCTGAGTTAAAACCACAAGGTGTTAGTTTCTAAATCATAGTAACAGATAGTTGGATGTCTCTTTAAAAATCTAAGGTTACTAGTCACTTGATGAAGGCACGCTGCTGCACTGAAATAGTTTGTGTATTAGAAAGCAAAGAAACATACAGATTGGTCAAAGGAACATTTTAGCATTAGGAAAAAAGGAAGACAAATAAATGAGATGTAGAAATAGGATTTCCACACTAAAGCATTAAACTGATTTCACAACCCAAAGAGTAGCAGAGGAGCTCTGCAGAACGGATTGGGGATTTAAGAATTGCAGAGAAGGATAGAGGTAATCATATTGGTAAAGCACAAAGCATAAACAAGTTTCTTCTTTTAATATGCTTTTTTTTTTTTTCTTTTAGTATTTGGTTACTCTTTCCTTTGAAAGATTTTATATGCCTCTAGCTTATTACATACCAGATTTATTTGAAGATGCGCTCTGTAATGAAAAGTTCTGCTGTATTAAGAGTCCTTTGTTATATTTAGTTATATTTAATGTTCTGCATTACCTGGAAAATTTCTTTTGTAAATGCTAAGTACACCTTTTAAGGTGTTGATTAATTCAACATAGTATTGCAGATAATGATAGCTACTGGATCAGCTGGGTTGTACGCTGTATATCAAAGATGTTTTCTGATTTGGGAAATGTTTGTCTGAGGTTACACTGACCACGCCAAAGCTGCATATATGGATATAATGAAGAAAGAACTATGGATGCATTTCAGCACACCCTCTGTCTCTGTGACAGAGACATCAGATGTAAAATAAATTCAGATTATAATATTATATTATTCTGTTTATATATAGACAATATTTAAAACAATTTTTTACATAATTATAAATTTGAACTGCACTTTTCACCTCTAAAAATATAAAATCTGAATGAAATGTGCTAATCTCAGTGGTCCTGTATGTTTTATGATATACTAATCATATCATCATTCTTTTTAATGGGCAACATTATTCCTGTATTTTTAAATTTCTCATGACTAATTTACAATTACAATTTTTATGCATTTTGTTCTTATATGACCTTCTGAGCTGGCTTGGAAAGGCTTTCCACTTGAATGCTAAACTGCAGAATGCTAGATTATATTATGTAAGAAGCATTTATTGTCTAAAAATTAGGGGATTAGATGGTTGATTATTTCATTCATTGTTACTTGATGGTAATTAGCATATTTCAGTTACTGTTAATGATTGTGCTTTTATTTTCTCTTGTCCTTGAAGTTCAAAGGGAATAGGAGATTCTTGTCAGATTTTCTGCTTTTTTCTTTTTTTATTATTTTATTTATGTTTCTTTCCTAACAATTTCTAACAGTAACAGCATCACAAAAAAAAAAAGAGAAGAGCGGCTAAAAAATAAACGCAGTAAGCACTGAACAACTTCTTCATTTCTGTCTGTCCGTCCTTTTTTTCTTTCCTATGTAGGCTTTATAGTAGCAAATCGTGCAAAACATTTCTTCCATGGCCACAAAAGCCTTTGATTGAGGTGGAACACATGCAGGCTCCTGAACATTTACTACATCCTGTGGAGCTATACTCCACGAGTTTGGTATGTCTCGCTCTGCAGGATCATTTAGCAAGTAAAGCAAAAGTGGACTCATGAGAGTTAGAAAACCATCCCATCTTGTGGAAAAGTCAGGGGAACACAGGTACCTAGACTTTATATGGCTCTGTGCTCATTGTGGAATTTGTTGCCCATCTTAACTACCTAAAGTACATTCCCAGGGTGCAACTTGATTATTAATTAAAGTGCTGGACTTATAATTTTTTTCATAAAATCAAATACCATTTATTTGCAGTATTTATCATCTGGTAAGTTGAATTCATACTTTATAAAAAACATGCATAATAACTCTTGATAGATCTGAGTTAAGTCTCACTGTTAATGTAAACTTTATTCTTCATAATGGAGACTTCCTGACTGTATCTTACTAAGAAGATGAACTTGTACCCATTGTACATTTTAAGCAACTCGGTTTTGAACCTCTCTCACTCATGACCAAAGGATTTGGTTTAAACTGAAAATGAAACTCTTGAGCCTGAATTAAATCTAATCTCCTTTGGCATTCATTTAAAAATAGAAATTAAAATATTATGCTTCTGGAGATTTTTGTTTGTCTTAATACCTGCAAATCAATCTTTCATCCATATCCTGAAAATGATATTTCTGTTGCTGTCAGATTGAGGTTAATCATGCTGACAGATTTGAACAATGAACAGGGATGGTACTATCAGTTCAGCTTTCTGCCATTTTATACTCCTGCCCCAAATTTTATTTTATTGACTCAGTAATTGGCACAGAATACATCAGAGTATGGCACCAATGTAAGGCAACCTAAAATCAGGTTAAAATATTTTGCCTGCAATATTCTTGAAGTACTCTTGCAACATCTGTAATTCACCACCTTAATAGATTATTAAACAAAATATAAGATAGCCTTTCATACTTTATAGTCACAATTATATTGCCAATAAGTTTAGATAAAAGAAATCATATGTATGTTTAGAGTATTTTGATTTTTAAAGTAAAAATGCTCATTCAACATTTAGGAAGCCGTGGTTAAATTTAAACATTAAAAGAAATACAAATGCTTGAAGGAATTTTAACATCCAATAAAAACGTGTTGTCATTTTCAACAATCTTACTTCTAGAAGACCATGCAATCAAGAATGATTCATTTTTCCTTAAAAATGTTATTCTCTTGGAAACTTATTTTGCACATGGAATCAGTTTATTCATATTTATCTAAAAATATTGACTCCTGATACATTTGAGCCTTTATGATGCATCATTGAAATGATTAATCATAAAGTATCCAAGAACTTGCTCATTCATGTTTTAGACTTATTGTTCCTGCTTTGTAGAATTTGGCCTTGGGAGGCTAAAGATTTGTAAAATATGGTTTTTATACAGATACCTTTTCCAGAAATATAGTCTCCAATAATGAGCTATTAGAATTTTAAAATCTAGTACAGTTCTCCAAGTCACTTTCTCAGTCATTGCTATTCATTAATGCAATTTAATTTCATTATGTTGATTTATATTATTAGTTTGTTGTTAGCAAGTGATACATCCTACAATTATACCATGCTGTTAATTATAATGAGTGGATGTTACATGAAAAAGAAGAAAAGTTTAAAATACAAAGAAATTTTTTTGGAATTTGTTTCTAAAGGAAAGGTAAAAAAATAATCACTGTTGGTGTGTAGTTGTCCTTTCTCTAACAAAGATATCAGTTCTATTTTAAATGTGTTTTCATTACTAACAAGCACAACTAATGAGTCTAAAATCCCTTTTTATTCCTATGGCAAATTATTTTTCTCTTTTACAAATAATCTTTTGAAATCTTTCTGTACAGCCATGTCTTCTAACACAGAAAATTTACTGAGTTTGGAAATCTTTCTTTGTTTTTATAAATGGAAAAGGAAAAAAAAAAAGTGTTTGGTGTATTTAAGGCATTGGATTTTAAAAAAAAAAAAAAAAAAAAAAAGAAAACCAAAGTATAATATTTCCCTAAACTCAGCCTTCTAATACAAAAACCATAAACTAGCTATTAATTTGTAGGTGATACTTGGTTTATGCCTTGCTGTTTGTAGATGATTGTGCAGCTGAAAAAGGAGATCCAGGAGTTGAAGGATGAGCTGGCACTGGTGACTGGCAAACAAAGAACATCAGAGCTTTCACAAGAAGAGCTACTTCAGTAATGGCTTACATTGTTTTCATTTTCTTCTTTTGTGGTGATACTTTTCATCAGTTTCTTTGTGGGCATAAATATTTAAATTCATCTAAGAGTTTTAAACTTCTCTGAGTGAATAATAAAGTGAAGTTAGGTGCCAGGTTAGAATGGCAGTTTTCCATTAAAAGCTCTATGAGGCTGCTGGCTGTGTTTTTGCAGCCTCAGCTTTAAGGAAGTGAAGTAAAGTAAGCGCAAAGGATGGGAATGCCTGTCAGATGCCAGGCAAAAAGAAATGTTGTATAATAGTACAGAATTAGAAAACAGTCTCTCTCAAAACTGGATATACGATCTGAGTAGAATTCAAGAAATATTCTTTGTGCTGAGAAGTATCCTGCTGCAGTGTTAGTTTGACATAGGCCAAGAGAAATCTTGTATTTCTGATGACAAAGTCTTAAAAGCCAAATAGTCAATTTTTTTACTGAGTATGCTATTGAAAATGGATGATTAATTCACACAAGTGTTGTAACATCTTACAGCTTTTTGTAACATATCAGTACAGCATGTAAGATCTTTCTATGTATAATGTAGAAATATTTACTTAGATCTAAATGTTCACAGTAACTAAATTCAATTCCCAGTTTTGAAAAATTAATTGGTTCTGTAAAATGGAATTTAATCTCTGCCTCATCTGTATAAAGAAAGTAGTAACTGCCTAGAGATTTTGTTTGGTTAGTATATTAATGGTAACTAAATTGTAGCTGTGAGAATTTTTAGTCTTGTTTTAATTTCTCTTGGAACTGGTCCAGAAGAAAACTACTAGTGCTAACAATTTCCCCTGACATCCAGGATATTCTGGAAACATGAGGACAAGTTTCTACCTTCAACCTTGAGTTTTTCATGTAGATTGTTGCCATTATTTGTTCTTGGTTTTGATTGTTTTGTTTTATTTCAGAAAGTAAATTATATCCATATTGGGGATGAGGAGCTAGATAACGTTATGTATATATTTCTTTTACACCATTAATCTGAGTCATTTTCAACATAGACAGTTTACCAGTATAATCTTCTAACTAGAAATGTCCCCTCAGTTCCTACTGGGTTAATATTCATTTATCATTCTACCCAAAACTATGGGAGTCAAATGCTCCAAAAACATTGCAGGGTAGCGCTGGAAATGACAAAATCAACCCATAGAAAGAAAATTAAAGAAACAACAAGAACAGAGGGGTATCTTTCATTTTCTTTACATGCAAAATTAAATGCCCTTATTAGCTAGTCTCTTTTTACCCGGACAGAACTAGTCCTTCAGAAGATGATTGACTCAGTGACTTTTTTCAGATATACTTAAATGATCTATATATTAATTGAAAGGTGTACTTCCCTAAAATTATTATAAAAATCTGTCACATGAATTTTCCACTGTGGTCTTGTTTGCTGTTTAGTTTGTACAGGGAAACTGGGTTTTTGGAAATAATTAGTAGGGTTTCGGCCACACATGGACCTTACCTCCTAAGATTTCCTACCTGACTTTTTCCCATGAGAATGGCAGTCTTATAAATGTAAATGAGTTCAGAGTTAGTGAAAGTTTTTAGTATGAATATGCAAAGGAAGACTAGGAACGTACCATCTGCATACAGTTGCACTATAGAGTACATCTGGGAGGTCTTGTTTAAGAAATGTGTGACTAAAAAGTATATGAATTGTATGTTTTTCATTTTTATTTATATAGCACAATATATAGTCCATTACATTGTCAGATTCTTCTGAGATCATGGCAAGGGATTTTGCATTCCCTTCCTCCAGAAAGATGCAGGGAGGAGATTTTATTGAGTTTATCCCTGTAATAAGACCCAGAAGACAAAATAACTTTGGAGGACCTCAGCTATATTAGGACAACACAAATTTTTAATTTTTTTAATTTATTATTTATTTATGTTTACTCAGGCTCATGTAGCATGTGTGTTCGTTGTTTCAGAAATTATTTCTTGGAACAAATGCTCTACAATTAAAATATAGAACAAAACTTCAGTAGTGCTGACTGAAATGCAATACTTTTCCCAAAGATAATAATAAATAAGATGGACCTCAAACAACTAACTTCATCAGTCATAAATGCCTTATAGACGCCTTCTTCAAGGGTCATTATTTTTAGTATAGGCTTAAAATGGAAAAAAAGAGGGTTTTATGGGTAGCATAGTTTCAAGCAGAGAGTGGAAGATACTGCTAGAGAATAACTGTCATATACGTGAGTGAGACTGGCTTATTAATGCTGTAGTTGAATAGAATATAAGTCTATCTTTGAAATATAAGTCAATCTTTTTTTAAGCTGCTTAAGTGGGGGTAAATATCAAATGTCAGGTTTTATGAGTTTAGCATTTGTATGTGTTCTTGCAAGCAGAGTATTCACAGGTAAACAACCTATGTGGACTAAATGTCCAAATGAGAGTATAATGAAATGATAGTACAAAAAGCCACTACTTCAATGAGAATTGTTTTCAATCTTTCTGTGATTTTGAACTCATACGTTTTGAGCTCACTTTCCTATTGTGATAATGTTTGTGACCATGCTGGTTTACATCTGTCTCAGCCTCTTGTTCATGAATGTCCTGAGTGTTTATGAAAATCAAAAGATAGCATCTAAGTGTTCTGTCCCTGTCAGAGTCTAACAGCAAATCTTTGTGACAATTCTGTTTATTGAGACTGACCATCTGAGTTTGGAGCTACTTGTTATCTGGAGAGTTTGTTCACATTAAAGAATAAATATACAAGTGACTAGTCCAAACAGAAGTACTGACCTGGATGGGGGCTGATAAAATCATGATTTACCATTACTGGAAAATGTCTATGTTGTGGTTTGCATCTAGTTTTGCATCTATAATGAAACCTAAATAATATTACTTATTGCGAGACCTATGGGTCAGATTGTTGACAGACAGAAAAGGAAAATAAACGTGTTATAGGTGATAATGCAACATACTGTATTTTTGCAGTTTGGAGTCAACACCCAAGAATGGTCCTTAGGCGAGTGGTACAATAGGGGGGATTCCAGACAGAATAATAATTTCTTTTTAACTGATGCTTTTTTTAATATGCCAAAGAGGAAATTATAATTAGGGTCATTATGGATTTAAAATAATGTTTAGACATTTCCGCTTAGTTAGGATATTGTCTGCTTAAATGAATTGTATTCTTTCCTTCTGAACGCAAATGATCAAAGGTACAAAACATGTCAATGAAAAACTCCATGCACTAAGTACATATTTGTTTTGTTTTCTCTGCACAAGTCATCTCAGGCACTTTTCAGTAGAAGATAGATGCTAAAATGAAACTGAGTCCAGTGGTACATGTGTAGATCCAATAATATGTTGTTAGTCTAATAAAATGCTTACGGTAACGCATAGTTTTTTTGTTCTCTACATATGTTGCAGGAAATAAGTGTTAGTGATTGCCCTGGAAATATGTATTAATATTATGTTAAAATGATTTTTTTGTATATTTCTTGACATACTAAGTCAAGAAATGCCAAACATTTCTTACAATAATGAGGTCATTCCACTTGTTTCCTTTCAGGGCATTCCAAAATAAATCACTGGGCTACTCAACACAGTTGAAATTGCTAGATGTTTCAAGTTAGTATGTGAATAAGCTTTAGTTCATTCCTCTTCTTTTTTTTTTTTTTCTCAATTCTTATTTTACTATTCTTTATTATTGTTATTATTATTATTCATTTAATGGAAGAAAAATAACATCTGTCAAATAGGCTTTCCTCATAACCACTATAATGTCACATTGACATTCACTAAGTTTAAAACAAAATGAAAAACAAATGCTCTTGACTTTTCTTGTGAATGCTAAATTATAATACAACATAATTTAACAATCCTGTGAATAAAACTAAGGTTATCTGGAATTCTTACTTCAGAATTCTGTGATAGATGGTAAGCATTTACATTACTATGTCATATATTTTATTATTTTATTCTCATAAATGTAAACATACATGAATTCTGCTGCTCTCATTTTGTTTATTTAAAAAACACAGCATAAAAAATTCAGCTAGACTACATAAGTGGTTCAGAACATAGTTCATAAAATGCTTCCAAAGTCTGAATTGCTTGCTTTGGATCTTAACATCTACTTCCTTAGCTGTAAAGGGCTGATCTCTAAATATTTCTTTGAGCTGGAGAATTAGTTTCTTGTTTAAAAAGAAAAAAAAAAAAAGAACACTTTAGACTTTTTTTTTTTTTTAATTTAGAAAATAACATCATACATCCCAAATAGAAGGAAATTGCAGGCTTCTGTATTATGCTTTAGAATAGAATTAAATGGCCTTCAGATAGTTTTTGGTTGGTTTTTGGGGTTTTTTTTGGTGAGAAGCATGCCAAAAGTAAAAGGGAGAGTCCTTTTTGTTTGAGCCATTTGGGATTCTTTTTTTTTGTTGTTCTTATAAATGAGTTCACTAGCAATTTACAATGTGTGCCCAGAAAGTCAGGATTTCAAATCAAGGTCCTGTGTTCCAGAGCACCCACGCTTCCAGAGCTTTTGCCAGTTGGAATTCTCTAGGAACAGGACCGGAAGTACTGGCTTAGCACTTTAATTTATTAATAACTTTACCTTATTTTTTTCAGATACATATGTTATTACAGATACTTCTATTTTTTACTTCAACAGTCATATATTGTTCATCTTACTCAAGTCCTGGATTTCTCATTACTTTTTTCTGTCTTTCATTTTTCTGTTTCAACATTGTGACATCTGTATGCTATCACGGTATTAACAATATTGCACTGTTGTACAATATAGAGCTTTAACAGTTACTCATCCTTAAGCTGTCGAACAAATGGTTTCATTTACAAAGCAGAGCAAATGTTCTTATTTGCTGATGTCAGTGTTCAATTTCTGTTGCAAGGTGGAAGAAATAGAAGCATATTACCTTGCCTTATGTCAACACAGCTTTGCAGACAGATTTGTGTAGAATTTAGCAGACTGACTAAGATAAGCTCTGTAGGCAATATTCAAGAGAA